AACATAGTGTCTGCTGAGAACTCTTTGAAAACAGGATGTTGGAGCTCTTATACATCAGGGGCCAGCGCTGGTCTCTGCTTCCATCAGACACGCAGCCTCAAGTACTTGGTGGTTTTAGTAGCTATGAAATCAAATATGAAAATTTCTGTAATGTTCAAAGCTAGGAATATTGGGCCTCATGTAAGAACCTGTTCGTCTTCTAAATTTCTCTTGCTTTTGTTCATTTGAAGGGTTCGTACGAACATGTCACGTCAGATTCAACAAACTCTTCTATCTTCAGGAAAAGTGTGTAAATGAGCTGCGTAAACTGATGAATGTGTATCAGCTGCTCGTTCAGGAGGAGAGGAGATTAGCATAATTACCACCTTAAAAACACCATATAAGGATACATTTCCTGTCCTACATACCAGGAAGTGTTCATKCATAAATAACATCACAAAGTAAAAAGAAAAACTTTACGAGTTCRGAGATTGAAGTCCTGCTCTCAGAGATCCAGAAAAGAAAATCTKTCATTTTTAGCAGGTCAGCTGTGGAATTAAAGGAGCTGCTAAAGTCGAGGAATGAAATGCTGTTAATGTTGTGTCTCCTGTGGGWCGTACAGTCACAGAAATAACAATCTGAATCATATTCATCTCTCTCTAGTCCTGCTCCGGTTTTCCTTTGGCCAAGTATTTTTAATTTAAGCGTAAACAACTGTGTTAAATAATTTTCATTTATTCAGGAGAGCCACACGGATGTGGCTGTCGTGCACCATCCATGCCCCCCATCGCAAGTGGTGTCAGAAAAAAGTCTTTTAAAATGTCTCTAAAATATGTCTGACAATTTGGAGTAAATAGCATATCTGATGTGCTGAATAAATCTCAACAAAATATAATTTGATTTAAAAAATAATCAATGTCCAAATAAAGCTGTTGATTATRTTCACTTCTCATCGACCTCATTATATACAGAGATAAATTAAACTTCAATTAATGAATAATTTAAGTTGGTTTGTAGTTTGAGATCTTCATTTTAATATTTCAGTGTTATACAACAGCATTAATAGCCAATTTAATTTACTTTAACCAACTTATATTGTTAGTCTACATTAATACATTTAAAATTATAATTCAAACAGAATAGCCTCTTATTATATATCTTATATTATATCTTCAAACTAATGAAATATAAAGTTCTTAATGAAGAAAATCAGTCTGGATAACAGCAGACTGACTGCAGGTAGAATATACAACAGGTCTGGACCACTTGTTTTTTGTTATCTGAAAAACAGAATGAGAAACTTGGTGAATGATACGTTCTCCTAAATCACTCGTAAACACAACTTAGAACAAATCTGTACGAAGAGTTCTTATATGAGGCCCAATGTGACGTAACTGTACTGTGATAAATACATTTCAATAAATGATCAGGTAAGAAAAATAAATTATATTATATGACAACATGAGCTGATATCTTTATAACTGAAATACTCACTAAGTCATTTTAAGGGGGAAATTTTTAAAAAGGCTATTTTAGTCATTTTGTTCTGTGCAAAGGACTAACTGTGCTATAATTTAAAACAAGCTTAACTCAAATTTATAAAAACATATTCAGTGTCAGGTTTTATTTGTTTATTTCACTGTAACAACATTTTATTTACCTTTATTCCACTGAGATCACAGATCTGGACCTGAGGGCAATCTAACATCGTTTTGTCATTTTAATGAATAAACATTCATGTTGAAGGTTGTTAATGTTAAGTTTGGAGATTCCAATTTATGCACGTTTTTGTATTTAAAAGTATTTAAACATTAAAAACTTAAATGACAACATGGGGGGGAAATGACAAAAATATTGTTTTTTTTCCTTCGAGACGTTCTTGAACTTGCCCCCAGAACACACWGCACTGAGACAAGCTGCACACACTGCAAATAATTCATCCAAGTTCTAAAACTATAAATTTATTGTACAAAATTGTTGGTCAACTCATCAGATGGTAAAAGTTTATTGCTTTAAAAAGTTCAAGTTCAGTTTATTTATGTAGCACCAAGTCACAACATACGTTGTCTCAGGGCGCTGTCCATAAAAACAAAACTAACTTGAATTTGTCTTGTTGACTGACTCCCACCACCAAACCAAAAGAAATGAAACARCTTGATGATGAGGATGGTACCCCTAGAAAAGCTCAACAATGATTGGACCACAGCAAACATCAAGGTAAAGGTTAGAAAACCATCTGCCAGCAGACTGATGTTTCTTAGGTTKAACGTCCACAGGACTCGCTGCATGTGGCCAAAGAAGAAAAACTGATGGATAACAGGAACGATAACCAAACAGCCCTGAACTATTTTCAACGAAATTAAAGGTGAACTCCAAGTTCAAGGTCCATCAGTGTCAGACATGTACCACTGGTCACTGTTTGAGCCAAAGTGGACTTAAAGCATCTAAAAATATCTTTAAAAAAGACTAAAGACAAAACATTTGACCATTCTGATGTGGCTCTAATCCCTAATCTAAATCCAGTATAAAGTCAGTTTAAAAAGCTGAACCATGCAGTCTGAAGAAGGCWTCCTTCAAACCTGAAACACTGCAGAAGAGTTACACAACCTGCTTCAAACTGTTGTGCAACGACAATATTAATGTCCATTGCTTTGTAAGGATAGTTTGTTGTTTATATATATATATATATATATATATATGAGTGGTCTGTTGACTGTATTTGTTCAACTAATGGTTATGGGCAGGTTACAATATAAAAATGTTTGTCATAATCATGTCTTGTGATTATTTGACAGGAAATTTATTTTTAAACTGTAAGTGTATTT